AGAGAATTTTTTAATATTTATTTTTTAGTTCTCAGCGGACACAACATCTTTGTTGGTATGTGGTGCTGAGGATCGAACCCGGGCTGCACGCATGCGAGGCGAGTGCGCTACCGCTTGAGCCACATCCCCAGCCCCCACTTGTTTTTATACTGCATTTAAGAGGGGAAATTGAGGCAGAAAAAAATCTTCAGTAAATTTTCAAAACAAAAATTTGTTTCTTGCCTAACAGTTAAAAAATATATCTGATAAATTTTACATGTCTACCTATTTTGTAGAAAATCAGGGAGAATTCAAGTGATATATATTAATCCAAGTTTGTGTGGTGTTTTTTTAAACCACCAATGAAGTTAAGAGATGGGAATTTAAAAAAAACAGACACTAAAGTGGTTCTAAGGATATAATTGATCTAAATGTTCTGAGCCTTTGAATCATACATGGGCTGCCATTTAACTCATTGTCAGCATTAAGGTAGGAGAGGTTTATGTCACAGTGATGGAATCATGCTCCATTAGCCTAGGCTGCATAAGTACAACAAAGTACTAAGACAAGGTGGTTTAAACATCCACAACTTATTTTCTCACAGCCCTGGAAGCTGGAAGTCCAAGATCAGACAAAGCATGGATAATTTCTACTGAAGGTTTCTCTCCTTAGCTTGCAGATGGCTATGTTCTTCCTGTGATTTATGTGGTTTTCTGTCTGTACATGAACATACCTGTGTGAAGATGTCCTCTTATAAGACACCAGTTATTGAATTAGAATCCACCCTAATGACTTCATTTTAACTCAGTTACCCCTTTTAAACACCTATCTTCAGATATAGTCATATTCTGATTATGGGGAAAAGATTTCAAAATGCAAATTTGGGAAAACATAATTTACCCCGTAACAGAGGCAACAGCCCATGAATTAAGAAAAAATTATTCATCTAAACAGATACATACCAAAGAAACTAGGAAAGCAATCTGAGTTGGAAAGGTGCTACTCAAAATGACCTGTCCCTGAAAGAAATGATCCGGATGGTGGAAGAGAATTCTCAGAATGGTCTCCTGACTTCACTAGTCTTCAAATAGGAAAAATGCTTTCTGGCTACAGCTAGAATGTACTTAGGAGTATAAGTTTTGGCTAAAACTCATGCTTTCTTTTCCTAATAGAATCCTTATATCATTATTTGATCCTCGTGAGTTAGGTTGAGAGTTCAAACAGGAACATAAATAAGGCATATTTGATGTTGGAAATTAATGAGCCCAATTCTATCTCTTTAACTTTTAAAGGATATTACTTGATTATATGGACAAGAGCCAGTTCTAGTGATAGCTCATGAATTGTTAAGACAGTTGTCTTCAAAAAGAAATATAGCATGCTTTGTTTAACAAAGGTAAAATAGGGATTAATTCTGAGAGGCAGAAATCTGTGTTGTTTTATTTGCTTTTTAAATTGACTAGTCATTTTAACTTTCAATACTCTTTTCCTTTCTTTACAAATATTTGCCAGTTTACATTATATAAAATGGG